TTCTGGCTTGTTTTACAAAAGTACATATATCCTACTGGATACGATAACGATACTTCGTTGCTAATCTGACCGCTATCTGATTTTGCTAAAACTCATTTTTTTTATATTCACTGTAAGAGCTTATCGTAAGGTAACTTCATCAGGTTGCGGCTAACGTCGACAAACTTTGCATCAATGATCTGTGAACTTCTTGCCGCATTTGTGGATCTGATGGAAAATAAGAATGTTCTGATGACTTGTCAAAATACCGCATTAAAACACTTACCAACTATCATTCCGCATTTATCCATTCCTGGTGTCTTTGATGTAGAGAAACTCACGTATGGGTTGTTGCATAAATTAGTGAATATGAATTTATTTCGTATTCTTTTGTGGAAAATTTCGGTGAAAATTTGTTTCAGCGACTTTCTCGTGCAGCTGTTGATTAACCCTGGTGCGAATATTAGCGCAAGATACCGTTTAAATTTTGTTAGAGATGTGGTTAACTCAGATATCTTTTTTAACAGTTCAAGCCGCGAGAACTTGCTACCCAAGGTTTAATTTTTTTTTAATTTAATTACAAAAGATGAGTTACCAGTATTTGAGCGTCATAAGTTGGTACTAAATGATGTTTTGATTATGTGCTTGTTAAAGAGGAAATGCAATTTAGCTAAATTTAGCAGTAGATTAACAGTAAGGGCAATATTTTAATAATGAAGTATTATTTTTATGGTGCTCAGTGTTTTTTTTAGATTCTTGATAATGTCATTAATGAACTGGAAAGCATGGATTTTGAGAAGGCCAGGGAAGCGCACACAGAGCGCGGAATGGTCGAAGAGTGTTCGAACGCGAGTGCGGATATCATTTTCGATATACTGGAAAGACTTTTTCCTTCAGCTGTTGGTTTTGTGCAACTACGTCTAATTTTTATGCGCTGAAATGCGTCGATCTTATTCAGCACCATTATTTTCTTGGAAGATTTTATTTTTTCAGAACTTGAATGAGGAGAAAGGAACTGAAGAAGAGTTGTATTATATTATTTCCAGATCGTTTCGTACAGTTTTGCAAACGACAGTGGCCCTTATAAATGAAAAACTTCCTGCTGTATCTGCTTTTTTTGTGTTGCGCTATAGAAACATTTTTGGGAGGCATTACTGTGTTATCAAAAAGCTCCTTGGTTCATGACAAATTGTATATTTTATTACTTTTCAGTCTGCATTTTGCGCCCTCACAGTCGCTCTTTTGGATAAAATGTCAGCCCAGATGTACAAAAATTATATTGATAGTCTTACCACAAGAATAGATAAATACGATTTTTTAATGGAAATGGTCCACCTCTTTCGTGATTTTATTAACAAATCGTCTTTTCCGTCTGCCTGGTTTCATATGTTTTGTCTTCAAAATAAGTGAGTTTTTTGACTTATAAAATGAGGGATGTTGTTTTTCATTTCGTATCACGGCACACTGTGCTAGGTTTGGAGCTACTTTTTGGTGTCTGATATTCACCTATAAAATCAAACCTATAAAAATATATATTTGTTGTTCTTGAGATGAGGTCAGCTTGATAAATACCCCTGTCAAAATTCCATGTAAGCTTTTTTTGTATTGTTTCATATTTATTATTGTTTTACAGGGTAATTTTGAAAACGATGAGGTTTGTTATGTCAACAATGACTGAACACGCTGAAAACTTTGATGCTGAGGTAAATTTTGTAGATAGAACTTGTGTTAATCTTCAGTCAAATTTATTTCTTTAGCTGTGGCGCGAATACATGTTAACGATGGTTGCGTATAGTACGCAGAAAGGTTTACAGATTGGTTCGTCTGCTATAAGCTTAAGACGATCTCAGTTGCTTTCTTCACAGCCTGATTTAAGGAGGAAAGCGGCCGCCGATCTTCGATCTGTGTGGTTCCGACTATCTAGTTAGTAAAAAAGTTATTCAATTTTGAAACTTTTTTGAAATCATTACAAATTTTGCTTTAATTTCCTGCGCTAAATTCTGTGGCGAGTCCCTTGCCGGTGAGTTCTGTGTAACGGCATTTGCATATGTTTAGTGACAAATAAAAACATCTACATTCCCTCGCTGATTGGATCGTTTCTACAGGTGGCTTTGGTTGATGATGATATAGTTCGAGAAACCATTATCCCAATATTCTTTGATATGATGCAGTGCGAATTCTCAACTGTGCCATTAGGAGATTTTTCAAGAGTATTGCTTTTGACAGTTTTGTTTCTTAGCTAGTACTGATTGAATTTTTTATTAGCATACTACACAAATAAGTAACTTCAGTTTGCTAGTGAAATGATTGTGCAACTAGACTGCCTTGTGGACGAAGATAGAGGTTGTCAACGATTTAAAGAACAGCTTTGTCGCATTATGAGAGAAAGGTAAATCGATTTTTGTGTCAGACTGCCAAAGACACTTATCTGAATACAAGATACTGATCAACAAATATTCCGAAAATAACCATTTTTTCTTATTGTGGAATTTAAGATGCTCTTCGGATTCCCAACTTCGAGATGAAGGTTGTAAGTTTGTTACAAAATTAGGTACTTTGCTCCAGCATTTATTCGAGTATCGCGAGGTCCGAACTAGCGGTTACAGTGTTGAAAATGGTATGAGCAGGACGGTGGAATTACTTGTAGGTCTCATGAGCTTGGTTTTCTAGTCTTAAATGTTATGATTTATTATTGTAGTGATGAGCTTTATTTTTTAGAATTATTATAAAGAGATTGGACAGCCTGATCTGTATATAAATTATGTTTATAAGTTATATGATTTGCATATGCTGAGCAATAACAAAGTGGAGGCTGCTTTTACCCTGTTGAAACACGCCAAGACGTTGAGTGTGAGTTTATTTACCGAAGTCATTTGTTTTATGAAAAACCTGAAGTAAATTTTGTAGAAGTTGATAATTTTCTTTCCTAAGCTTTCATTGTTTTTAGTGGACGGAAAGTGAGCTTCGCCCAGCTCTGTTGAATGCACACCTAAATCGTCACTATGGCACTGAACGACAGCTAAAAGAAGCACTTTACGAAGAAGCGATTGATCTATTTGACAGTAAAGATATGTGGGAAGAAGCCATTTTAATAATCAAAGAATTGGAATCAGAGTACGGCAGTGGTTATGAGTATGCAAAATTATCTCAACTTTTGGTGATGTTCCAACTTATATTGTTTTATGCTGATGTTTTTCTTGTTTCCACCCTTTGTTTCATTTTTGATATCTTGAAATTATTGGGCTTGAAAAATAATTTTTGGGCTGTTTTTTTAGCATAGGCTAGCGGGTTTGTATGACAAGGTTAATACCCAACCAAGAGTAAGCTGCACATATTACCTTGTTGGTTATTTTGGGCTGGGGTTCCCAAATTATTTAAATGGGCAGCAGTTCGTTTACCGGGCAAATGAATGCGAGGTAAGCCTTTGACTTCCGTAATTGTAATGCGAAGATGCAAAAATTCACTGATGCAATATTTCAAGGTTTTATCTTCCTTTCAAAGCAGAATGCTTTCAACGTTTCCCGATACAACTTTGGTAACTTCTATGGATGATTGTTCACATCTTGCACATGCAGAAGGAAGGCACTTGCAGATATTTCCAGTTGAGCCTGTAAGCGAGATATCTGCTAATAAAAATAATATTAACCGGCTGATACTATGGTATTATAAACACAACAGGGTAAGTTCCGCATTATTTTTACACTCTTCTTTAGCACTTCTTTGCATCTTTTTCGTGGATGACAATCTATTGTTTTTTTTTTCATTAAATACAGAATCCTTAAGGTGAGGCGATTTGAATATCGTAGAGGTGAGTGCCGGAAGGGAACAAAATGGACTAATTTGAAAGATAAAGAGATCACTCGCTTATGGGTTATACGTCGTTACGTTATTGTTAGAGATTTGCTCCCCAACATTTTGAAATGGTCCCAAGTTGATTCTCACTCGCCACCGGTACTCCTTTTTGCCTTAATTAGATGCTATTGTATTAACTGTATATATGGGCTGTCTCAAATCAGTTCACGCACTTTTTTCACTCAATATCTCAAGACTTTTAAATTTTGCTCTTTAGTAGAGCATGGTTTTGTATTTATAGAGCTGATGAGGGGACGTGGGGAAATGAGGCCCTGCTAAGTTGTGCCTTGTGAAATTTAAAAACTTTACCGATTTTTTTCAACGTGACTATCTCGCCGGATATATGACAGCTTGACTTTAATGAAATTTGGTGTTATTTAGTCTGTCAGGTTCCGCGTGTTATCTACTTTCTGACAAAAATCACCCTTGTTTTTAACAGAACAGTTAGTTAGGTGCAAAAGAAGCCAAAATTTAAAAATTTATAAAAACATCGCTTTATTTTTTTTTAAAATACCATGCCTTACGTAAGGTTTTTTTGTTTTTAACGTCACAATTTAATAATGTACTCTCGACGATGTCACGAATTATGCAGTAGAGATCGAAGCGAGATTGACAAAAAAATCACGGTTTTTACAGCAGCCTTATGCATTTTAGAGTACCAAAATTGTCATTTACAGAATCTGTTTCTAAAAGCCGCAGCGAACCTTTGTCTTTGTCCAATACGTTCCATCTGTTACAGCTGCACTTCAGAATAAAAATGTTCACATTTTTTGTTTTGGAGATCTGTAACAAGCCTACTGTACCTCTGCATCTGCTGTTTTCTAAATTTTTTTGCGCAATTACAGCCATAAAGGGTGTTATTTCTTGAACGTTTTAATGACATTGAAGGGGTAACGGCATGAGTATTTGTAAATCGCACTGGTCTGTAAAGCTTTTCTAGGTTTATGAAATAATAAATTTTGCTTCTTTTTGGAGCCGACCGGCAATGAAAGAAGATTCATAAGTATGATGCAGTGCTGCTGAGTTTTGTGAGACAGACGTATAGTGTTAAATCTTGATGAGATTCGAGGGATTTTTTGCTTTAGCCGCCCTCTTGCTGGCACAGGTTTCTTCTGAATTCATTACCGTTATTCCGGTTTAAAAGATTATAACACGGAAAGGTGGCGGAGAAACATTGATTTTTTTGTTCATAAAAGGAAAGCGCTGATGATATGGATCACGGTGATGCTTTTAAGAAACGCAAAGCTTTCTGTGTCATTTGAGGCATATCATTAATCTAGTGGTAAAAATGCTGAATCCGATAATATTTTGTAAGTTAACAGTAGCAATTTGTGAATATCCTCAAAAATGTCACAATTTTTTGGGACAAACTTTTAGCATTTGAAATATGTTAGATACGCGTAGTGGTTTGCCTAGCTTTTAAATAAAGATTTTGAAGTTAAAAATGTCTTCGACACTGTAAAATATGTGAGACTGATGTAAAAATAACTGTTGTTAACCGGCTTCTTATCGTCTTTGAGCGTTATATTTTAACTCTGTTAGGGAAAAATCGTCAAGTTATGACATGCATGTTATAAAGTAAAAAACTCACACTCAACTTAGATTATTTTAAGAAATTGGAAGGAAGATTTTCATTTCAATGTTGTTTTTTAAAATTTTT